AGTGAGAAATTTATGAGCGATATGCCAGAGCATCACATCCCAACAATAGATTTCGAGAACCAGTTAACGGGTCGAACCAACCTCTTGCACTGAGGATCGGTTCGTGAACCTTGTTTTCCACTAAGGTTTGTTTCATATTTTTTCAAAATTCTAATGGAACAGTATATTTGTCATTTACGACTGCCCGTTGAACTGAAAATATTGCAAGCCGTAAATATGTTCATATAAAAGTTGTGGGCTAGCCAAAATAGCTTTCTGCTAAATTTAGTTAGATAAATCTTGTGACGGAATCAAAGCTATTTATGCTTTGGGACTGCGTCTTTTGCAAAGTTTTTGATACTAAGCCGAATCCTTGCCATAAAAATATTTATTTATTTCTTGGCATTTGTTTTGGATTTAAGTTCGTTTCACAATCATGAATAAATAAGATTTTGTAGCCTTGCTAAGAAAAAATATTTTTTAAATTAATTTTTTAGTGGAAAACCTAATATCGCCATATTGCGAAAGAATAGACTTCAATTTTGCCCCCAAATAATATATTATATTACGGAACGAACTCAAGAATTCCTTGTTATCCGAGCACTCTCGTTTTTACTCGACTTGCCCTCCAAAAGTTGCGGCAGCACTTGGAGAATAATTGGCTTAGAATTTCATTAGAAATTATTTGAAAAGAGTATGTATCTGTCGAGACGTTGTTACAGCTTTTGCTGCAGGGTCAAGTTATGCTTCCGGATCGTATATCTGATACCTGAGAAACACGTTTTAATGGTTTTTTTTTTCAGCTAGAATATAAAAATAGGCTACTGGTGCCACGCTCTCGCATCGTCCGCCCTGCCCGGCTGCTGCGCATTGAGTTGACGTCTTTGTCGACCCTTCAGTGGCTGCTGGCCACTTAGCTCCTGACCCCAGTGAACCTGCTTAGCTCTGCTGCCTGCTTATATTAAACAAATCCAATCCAATAATTTCGGCTCATGCATAATAAAAATGCGACGGACAAGCGAGGGTTTGAAGAGGGTCACAGGACCACAGATACAAAGTGTGCGAGAGAAACAGAAAGGGAGAGTAAATATATACACATATATATCTCTGAAATGGAATCGTGGGGATGGACGAGCTCCAGAGTGCGACACTTGGCTGTCACTGCCAGGCGACTACGCGACTATTTTTGCCAAAATATTTTTCCTTTTTTCAGCACCAAATGCTGACTAAGTGCCGCTGCCGACTTCGCGGCGCTGTCGCCGTCGCTGTCGCTGCTTCTGTGCACCCTTTTTACTTTCATTGGAAATAACACTGCAAATAAATAAATTTAATGCGCCAACTGGCTAAAAATATTTGTTGGCTCCTTTCGGACACTTGTGGCGGTTGCAGAACACAGAGCAGAGCGGAGTTGTTGGCCAAGCCCGCCCAACAGCCCGACCCCCGGCACCCTGCGCCGCTTACGCATCCGTCCAGGATTAGGTACAGTGCCAATGCCAGGACATTGACGCTTCTCTTACTTTTGGCCAGGGCTCAAGTGTCACTGCGTGTGTGTGAGTGAGTGTGCGAGTGTGTGCGTGCATGTTCCTGTTTGTGTACATTAATCAGTTTATTTATTTATGTGAACAACTTTATTTTTGGCACGTTGCACGAAGCTGCTGGCTGCTGGCTGCTGCTAGCGTACGCGCAATTGAACTAGCTTCATATTAAATGGGGGCATTTGTATAATATATCTGTGACAAATTTCTGATATTGCGCATATTTTGAATAGCAGCAAATTGCATATCTGCGAATTATTTCCTTGAATTATTCATTAAGCCACAAGTTTGTGATTTGTATATTACCAATTACAAATACTCCTGCTCGATTGTCATACACATTTAGGGCTTAAGCTTAGGCACTGTGCGAGCTGGGTGCAACCAGAGCAACCGCAACAACCAAAGCCGCCGCACTACAACAGCAGCAAGATCAACACTGTAGTCAACTGGCGCATAGGAAAGCAATTAGCAGCGTCCAACACGTGTAAAGCACAACCTCACACTCACACTCACACACACACACTCGTGACATGATTATAGCAATGAACATGAAGGGAACTTGAGGCGAACGTATACTTTGAGTTTGGTGCAAGCCACGCCCAGTGTCGCCCACTGTCTCCCTGACGCCCATCACGTTGCACGCTTTTACACTGTCAATGGGCACTTGAATGTCGACAAAAGCTTTCAACTGGCATATACAACCACTTAAAATAGAAAAGCACTGCCCCATCACACGCGCACACACACACCCACACAACCACACACAAACACACATCTGAACTTGCTTAGCCGCCAACCGCCAGCCGCCACATGGCGTATAACACGCTGAAAGACCACAGCAGAGTCGCATTCGCTGCCTCAGTTAGCTGTCTGTTTGTCTAGTTGTCTGACTGTTTGTTTGTCGGTTCGTCCATATGAAATGCGCCTTACAATAATTCCCGGTGTTGGCCGAATCGCCAGCTTGGGCAACGCTTGTCTCTTGTTGCATTCCGAGTCTTGCGCTTAGAGCCGTAGTGGCAGCAAGATCCTGAGGCTGCGTTAAAATCTTTCTACCCCAGCTCAAGCACACCCACATACACACACAGTCACTCATTTTTATGAGTTAAGTGCTATCCACACAGTACCCAAGCCCTGCGCCGAAGCCCACTCCTAGTTGGCCCCAATCCACAGTCGCCAGCGTAGTCGCCGTTGCCCAGTGCCCCGTGTTACTGCCCACTTATAGTGCTGTTGTTGACGCAAATCCTCTTAACTAAATCAATTTTCATTTGTGTTTACGTGTGTGCCTACCACTCTCACGACCCCCCTCTGTCTCACCCGCTCGGACCCAAGCTCTTCACTGTGGGTATGCCCTCACAGACACAAATACCCATGGACTTGGCCAGGCTAAATAATTGTGCGTGTATTTCGGATCTCTTTAGCAGCGCTAAAAAGTATACTATCATTTTTTACCCCCCTTCCACCGTGCCTCAGCAGGGCCTCCGACGTGGACAAGGGATCTCAGTTATGGCTTGAGTCAAATCATTTGGCCTTTCTTAACCTGGTCAACACTCACATTCAAGACCCACACATCCGCAGAGATTGCGAATGAGAGAGCCTTTGTCTACAACTTTATCCTTGTCTACAACTTTATCATTGAAGCTTGATTCTGAGAATTAATAGTCCTTACAATATTAAAAGAAATTTTAATTAAAAGCTAATTTATGAGCTTAAATATTCAATTATACAATTATTGTGGTCGACATCATTTCGAAGCCAACTGCATTATGTATGCATGAATACGCGAATGAGTACAGTGGGTACTGCTCGATTGTGTCACGCCCTTGGCTAGTTGACACAATTGTGTCTGTGTATGCGTGTGTCAGTGTGTGTCCATGGGTATGTGAGTTCGCATGTGTGTCTGGCAGTTGATTTGTTCGGCACAATGCAGCTGCTGTAACACTTTGGCAGCAATGCCTGGCGGCGGTGTTCACAATGTTCTCTGAATGTTCAGTGAATGTTGTCTGAATGTTGTCTCTCGTTCTGTTCTGCTCTGTTCTCTCGTTGCTTTCGCCACTTGTTGTAGTTGTTGCTTGTTGTTAAACGCTATAATTGATACAGTGTGCTGCACCTGACACGCCAACATGACTCGATTTATGTGCATGAGTGTTTGTGTCAGTACGTGTGTATGTGTAAAGAGCTTAATTAGCACCTGGCACATGCACACAGGCAAGTGCAGGAGCATCACACCGTCAGAAGGGAAGGCAAAGCGCATTTAATGACAAGTTAATTTTCCTCTGTGCGTGCGTGCGGGTATTTCTATCAATGTGCAGGTGTAGCAGGAGTGTGTGGGTGTGTGAGTGTGTGGTCGCCCTTTTGGTATTAGAAAATCAACACACAGCAGGCGGCCGTTTGACAGGCATTGCTGGGTGAGTGTCAATTTAATGATCAAATTGAAATTAAATGAGCTGTCATTGTCGTTGACTGAAAGACTGTCTGAATGCACGTGTGATTCTGTGAGTGTGTGTGTGTGCACGTGTGTGCATGTGTGTATAGGTGCGGCAACAGGCTGATTTGCTTGTGCCCAAATATCAGTCGCTTGTCAATAGCATCTAGCGTTTTTACCTTCGACAGCGCCTTAAATGTGATTAAGGGAAAAAGCTCTTAGTCAACAACTAGATGAGTTTAATCTTATCATTTCATTCAACGGCGGTCTCTTGCCCCCCCCCCCCCCCCCCCCTCTCGCTCTCTTTCTCTCTCTCTCGCTCTCTCTGTCGCACAACTCTCCAACTTTCCCTCCCTTTCTTTATCATACTCTTCACTATCTCTATCTATAACTCTTTCTTTCTCTCTCTTTATCACTCTCTCTCTCTCTCTTTACACTGCTCCTTAACCAATAAGAAGCTAATTGGGATAAAACTTCTCCCTGTACGCATAGTCAGCACATTTGTGTATTGTGTTTGTAAGGCTTTTCTTTTAATATATCGCTCGGACAGGCAGTTTTCTTTTTATCTTTGTACTCATCTGGCAGTCGCGACAATTATGCAAGAGCTTTTGATAAATTTCAGCAGGTTGTGCAACTTTTTATTTTTCGTGGCATTTAACAAGTTTGCACATTAATTAATGCCAACGGGCAGCCAATTACCAGGTGACCCGCCCCATAGGAAAACCACTGGCTGGTCAAGGGAATGGCCTTCCACCTGAAACTCCGCCCTGTACGAGAGAATCTGTCAGTTGGCGCTCAGTTTTTATTAATTTCGTTTGACTTTCGAGCATTTTAATTTCGCCAGACGTCAGTTAGCATTTTACGCCTGCAACAAATTTCGCTTTTTAAATTGCAATTGCAATATTTATTTGACTTTATTTACTATATAATATTTCTTTTATTTTACAACTACAGCAAGTATGGCTGAGAAAAAATAAACACACACTTAATTGTGGCCAACATGACAAACGTTGAGCTGTCTATGTCACAAAAACTGCTTGCAATTAAAAATGCAGATTTCAATATGCATTAATACGTGCATACATGTCACATTTATATGCACACGCATTCATATATCTGGATGTGTATATCGCATAACTGATGACAGCTGGCAGTGTATTCCACAGTTCACAAACTCAGCAATTCCAAAGGTTGTCCACAGTTATTGTGAAATTAAACGAAAGCTTCAACTTTAACCAAATAATAGAGTACACCTTAAAGAAATGTACATAAATACTTTTTAATTCTTACTTTTCAGGAAACGGAAGAACGGACATGCCGAGTAAATCATAAGAGGATACATGTATTAGCTATCAAAAGTTACCCATCGTCTCATCAATAATATCGATAACTATTTATACAAAAGTACAGCCATGTTCAACTTGAAATAATGTTGTAAATGATTTTCTTAAATTATATGCTCAAGGGTCTTTACTTTAATTGAGGTATATCAAATAATTGACATAAACTGCAAAAATTCGTTAGAAACTAACTTTAAACTTTTGCTTTTCAGCTGTTTAATAAAAGTGTGAACAAATGATCAGTGCTATCGACGATCGACATAATCACACAACACTATGCGTATTCTCACTGAAAGTTTTGCAACACTATTAACTATGCTTATGACGCGGGGGTAAGCGGCAAATGTCTTTGGAATTCAGAGCTAAATCCAATTTAACCATCTAATATGAATATGCTCAAAAACCATTAATATATATATAATTTAATATAATATAAATTTTAAATTTAATCGCAAATATATTTTTTAGAAAGGCTTCAAGTCGTTCAATGTTAAAAATGAACCACTATACGAAAATGGCAATTGCAATCGATGGAGCGTGCGTTCCTGGAAGCGTGGAATAGGGAAATTTTATCAGCCAGACGGACTGCCTACTAATCGGTTGGGGCGTGAGGTAGTAGGAGGAACGGCGGGAGACAGCATTCAGCTCAGCTGTCTGCCAGCGGGTAGCCAAAAACCAGAACGTTGCGTTCGGGCCACAGGCAGCAACTGGAGCCTCAGTGGCAGATTGAGTGCTGGAGACACGAGACACGAAAGGCAGGCAGACAGATGGAGGCTGGGGAAGCAGTCAGTCAGTCAATCGAACAATCAATCATTTGGAATGACAGCAACATCGACTTAAGTCAAAGGAAGTACGTGAAGGCAGCGGCTAGACCTGTTCTCTGTGTAACTCCCAGTCTCCCACCCACTTTCATTCCCTGTGTCCCTCTCTCTCTCTCTCTTGCTTGCTCATTCGATTGTGTAGCCTTCAACTTCTCTTTTTTTGTTACTTCCTTACTGTGCGCACACATGCATACATTGATTTATAAGCTCGGGCCACCAAAAATTGAATGTTATTGCTTGAATGGCCGCAATTTACTAAAAAGCCTTGCCACGCCCCAAGCTTCTATACCCTCCCGGTGCCCAGCATACACTCTTTAAGCACACTGCTCGCTGTTATTTATGTGCATGTTTATTTATTAGATGGTCCCCAGACACTTGATAAAATTAAACGCAAATGGCCGGCAATTTTGCATTTGGCATTTTGATTTTGACACCGTGGCCGGGCCACGACTTCCGCCCCCGTCCCCGCCCAACCAAATGGTTGGCCATATATCTTAAGACTTACCAAAAAATAAACAGCAAATGGCATTACGACTACGGCCACCAGCAGATCGGCTATGGCTAATGAGACTATAAAATAATTCGTAACCGTTTGCAGCGACCGCTCGCGGCAGACGGAGAGGATGACGAGAATGTTGCCGAAGAGCGTTAGGATCGGGAACAGTATCAAGATGAGCGCCCAGTAATTGTGGTCCACTGCAAAGGAACAGTCAAAATGTGTTAGCAGAATCGAAAATACTTTAAGGTAACTTAAATACAATATATAATATAATATCGGGGTTGCTTGTGATATACGAAGGCACATAAACACGTAAACTTTCATGGAGCGGGCAGATTTAAATGTACTTATTGTAACCTGTATTCATTGGAAAAGGTTAGAAGAAAAGCATAAGGAGGCTTCTCTTCATTTTGGAACGGATGTCGTCCAATTGCAATCCCAATTAGATTGGTTGGGCATATATTTTGAAGCTCATAAGAGCTAAGTTCACAGATCTTGAACGTTTTTCCATTTAGAAACCTATCACATTGTCCCCAACACTGGAGGAGCATAGCTTTGAGCTTTTATTAAAGAAATCATTTGAGTGCCGCATTTAAGTTTCGAAAGTTATTATATTAAGGTCTGATTTAAATGATCGAAGCTATCGGAAATGTAAATGGAAGATATATATAAGACGTCTAATTGGCAGTACGAATGCTTATAATGGCATCTCAGTGCTGGATGTAGGGTATCTACTCGTGGGTTACTCCCCTTAATTGATATCAAATAATTTGAAGGCTACCCCGAAGCATCTTAAGCTACTTCAGCTACTCACCAATTCGCAGTTCATGACAGGATTCCGTTGTTAGATTTAGCGATGAATTCGTGCAATTAGTTCGATAGTTTTCAAAGTAGATGCTCGTCACGTTCTGATCGAGGAGAACGCTGCTGGCCGTTGTCGTGCTGACTGTTGTGCCCGAAACCGTGCTGCCGTTATAGTTGGGAAAATAATCGTTAAAATTCTCTAGCAGCAGCATAAACGAGCTGCCACCCGTGCCTGCACCGCTACCAGCAGCGGCACCGGCACCGGCACCACGACCTCCGACGCCGCCAGCACCAGCGGCATCCGCACCCGCACTGGCGGCGTGTGCTCCTGCACCACTCAGCCAGACGGCGTTCGCATCATAGCTGGCGCCGGCTGTCGTCCGATTTGTTATCGTCGCCGCTGTGCGCTGCAGGAGTTCACTGGTGGCATCCACATCCGCCTCGAGGGGGGCTCCATTGAAGCCGCCGAGAACGCCATAGTCCGCGTCCCCGTCGGCGACACTCTCGAGTGCGCTCTCCTCCGCGCTGTCAATAAGCGCTATGTCCTGCGCATCCTGTGCCGACTCTCCATTCAGCTGTTGCTCCACAAAGTTGCGCAGCGCATAGAGCCCGCCGCCGTCACCATCCAAGTCGTTGCTGCTGCTGCTGCTGTTGTTGCTGCTGCTGTTGTTGCTGCTGCTGCTGCTGGGCAGCGTGCTGTTTTGAACCTCACCCACGTCCAGAGTCAGCCACCTTAGGGTCTCATTAAAGTCGCTGGCACTGGCCCTGTTGCCACCGAGGCTTAGGGGCGTCGCCTCGCTGCTCAGGCTGAGGTTGTTCCCACCGGCTGCACCCAGCAGCCATTCGCTGATGTCATCAATTAACGCATAGCCAGCTTCTTCCGCCGCTTGTGTCTCGTCAAATGCGCTCGCCACATCGTCGTACAGGGACAGGTAGCTGGTGGGCGTCGAGGAGCTTCCGATGCCCATGCCATCACCTCCATCCCCGTCGCCCTCTCTGTCACCGTCTCCATTTGCGTCAACGATCCTAGGCCCAAGACCCGTCTCCGCTATGCTCTTCACGTTCGCGTCCGTCGTCCGGTTGTGGAAATGACCGAGCAACTTGCTAGCCAAAGTGGTTGTTGTTGTTGTGGCTTTAGCAATTGTTGCGCCTGTGCTTGTTGCTGCTGTCGTTGCTGTTGCTGGCACCGCCACAGCGGTGGTGGCTGCTGAGGCTAAGGCAGCCATCATTCCGCTTCTGGCCCCACCCAACGTCGCCCAGTTGCCCTAGTGAGGCTGTGCTTGAGGCAGGGAGCACACCGTTCGCTGGGCACCAAGGCAAAGCACCCGCTGCATACTGCCAGACACTGTAAATAAATAAGAAGAGCACAAACTACGTTAGAAATTCAACCGGAAAAGTTGAGAAGGCATATGCCATATTCTGCAAAACTTGCAGCTTTAAGATTTTAAAAACATAATATTAACTCATCGGATCTTAAAGGAAAAACCTGATCTTTCCTCATGAACTTGACCATACAAACGCACAATCTTAACAAGTCGGACAGACAGACGGACATGGCTAGATCGAGTCGGCTATTGATGCTGATCAAGGATATACATATATACTTTTTGGGGTCGGAGATGCTTCCTTCTGCCTGTTACATACATTTGGATTTTGCACAAATACAATATACCCTTATACCCATTTTAATGGGTTCAGGGTATAAAAACAATCATGCGTTGTTCGGTTCACGATTCGATCCAGCACCCTGTCATATGTTTTTAAAATATTAACCATTGTACTAAAAATATTGTAAGTCCCAAATTTTTTCATATACAAGATACGGGCTGAATTTGATCTTTACCTAAAATTTGGCATCTGCCCAATATGGTTAGAAAAAGCCAATGTTTGGGGCTAAAGTAAATTATACTTTGGTGCACGATCTCTTTCAAATGATTGCATTTGGCAACCAATTTTTTTAATTGTGCTCAAAATTTTAGTTAAACTCATAGAAGAAAAGTTCAAATGTATTCAAGAAACCTGCCAAAAGAGTCTGTTTTGGTTAAGGATACATTTTCATAACTACATCATTTGGCTTAATATATATTTTTTATAGTTTAATTTATATAAATATATGTAGCTGATTATTTTTATTTAGTCCCTTGTGAATCAGTTTTTTATGCATTTATTTGTGTATCGAATGGATTCAATCAACAACTAAAATTAGTTGTAAATAAGTAATTATTGTGAAATTTAAATGATTGTTATTGCATGCGATTGATTGATTGCTGTAAGCGATTTATTTTAAATATTCATAATATTTGCATTAAGTACAATGAACACAGCTGGAGGCGAAGCTCGCGCTGCACAAAAGTTTAATTGAAATTGCATTTAAATCGCAGCATACACACACACACGTACACACACACACACAGGCACACACAGACAGGAATTCGCTTTAATTAATGCTGCTTTTTGCGCCAATGCAATTATCTATCCATCTATGTAGTTTGCCGGCCCCGCACGTTTAATTACCCTTAATCAATTTATTGCCAATTATTCTACAAAAAGCGCCAACGAAAATTGTATAATTTAATTAAGTTAGCAAAAGGTTTTTATGTGTCGCTTTGCCATTCGACATCCACCCCAACATCTTAACAGTCTTGACTACCCCCGTCGACAGCGTCTTGTTTCCACTCCACAGACCCAACCAAGAAGTTCAGGTTTAGATTGAGCGCTTGCCATAGTCAATTTGCTCGGCTTCGTCTTGTTCTTGCTCCTGCCTTACACATTTTACAATTTACACATTTCGCCTTTGTATTTGCCAATTGGCGCTGATTAAAGCCTTCTTAGTCATTGGCCCACAATTAAGAGATGCCTCATTGTGCCCTAATCAGAGCAAGCATCGAATGAGCACATACTCGGAATGTGACTCCCATTGGCTAGCCAGGGGCCTTACAATTCGTGTTGAGAGTTTCTCGACCAACCGATTCCAGGTATCGAGGGGCAAACCAAGCTGGAGTCCAGTCAACTGCATTGATCGAATCTTAACACTCTAAAATAAATGAGCTGAATCTAATTGCCCCTTTGCCACACTAGCTGTTGGCTTATATATGGGATAATATGGGAGAGTAGCAGCCGCAGTTGCGATTTGAGAAAGGTAGAAATATCAAAAGAGAAATTGAAATTTGTATGTGTGTATAATTTGTCTCAGCTTAAAATGTATTTTCTTTGTTTGAAATATTGATCACATCGAAATTAAAATAAAGCACTTTGTTTTTATATTTTCACAACGTTTTCAGAAAAAACCTAGGCGGAAAAATGTACCAGCATGTAAAGGAAACATCCCGGTGTTCAATTGAGTTAAAATTGTTTTTCATTTTTAGTGCAGCGACTGTTACTGCTGGCTGTGTAAAAGCCAGTGCCGCGTGAATGCAAAGGCACTATTAAGCCCATTTAATGCTGATACTGCAGTCACGTCCATGACAATAAAATAAAAGACTATAAATTAAACTAGATTCAACGATATGGCGATACACATGTATTCGATAAATAGGGCAGATGAGCTGATTACTGAATAATTGCCAGTTAATTGGATTGTCCAATTTATTCCCTCAGTTCAGAGAGAGGTTAGCCATTAAATCTGCCTGAAAGTGTATTTTGGTTTAGGCAATCATAATTATATTCTCCCCAGTTGTATGATAAGACTATATAAGAAATAAGCTATATACTATATAAGATATAAGCAGGACATGGCTACATCAAGTCAACTATTGTTACTGGTCAAGAATATATGTACTTTGGTCAGAGACGTCAGCCTCTATGTGCTACACACTTTAGGACGATATTATAATACCCTCTGGCAAGGGTATAAAAATAAAAATAGCTCAGCAATTGCCATTTACAACGTATTTAACACATGCCTAGTTTGAAGCGGACTCTGTTGGCATAGACAAATGTTAGACTCGAGAAGAGGTCGAGGCCAAAGTTAATTCCACATCAGCCGAGTGTCAAAATGTCTCGTCAAATGCGCACATAATGCGATCGTAAACGTGTCATGATGTGCGTGCCGCTAGTACACGAGTATATTTGTCTGTATAGTACAATTTTGGTATTGTTGCGGCTCACATGCAGATGCCACAAGATAGTGGATGCCGTTACGGCTGCCGCAGAGACGTGGCACTCAAAATCCGTGCCAGCTGCCAGAGCCACAAATAAAGAAATGAGCAAATTGTTGGCTCTAATGAAATTCTGGCGCAATACGCCAAGCAAATTAAGAAGAAGAAACAGGAAGCGGCAGTGGATGATAGTTGGGCAATGGAAAAAGGAAGAGAAAATCTAAAATACACAAAAAGAAAATGACGCCCCAATCAAAAAGACGCAAAGCAGCGGTGCAGCTCTCTCCTGTGTGTGTGTGTGTGTATGTGCGTGTGTGTGCTTGCGCGTTTTGGTTGCCTTTTTCATTAATTACTCCAGCAAATGGCAATAAGAAAAAGAGGCAGGCGAAGTCGAAGGCGAGGTTTAGGTCGAAGAAGAAGCAGGACTAACAATGCCGAGGACTCAGCACAATTCAACTTGGCACTGAACTGAACTCAAGTCGGGTAATTAATTTCACTTTCGCTTGAGCGATGATTTTGAATATGCGACGACCGCACGCAATCCATACAATACGAAAAATACTGTGAATACCCCGTGGACCCCAATACTTGCCGTGTCTGAAGCCACGGCCAGCAGTGGAGCGGTGGAGAGGCGCAACTACTTACCGCTCAGAAAGCAACCTCAGCTCTGGGCTAAGCAACTGCGAGTAAGAGTGTCATTTCCTGTCGCTGGCACCCCATTCACTTTCCCCCTGCCTTGACCGTATCCGTATCCTATCCCATTACCGAGCCGGAGCGACTCGGCCCGTCAGCAAGGCTAAATGGCATGCGACCACATAATTTGGACTTGTTTGTTGTTGGCCTGGAATTGTTTTGTCTCTGCCATACTAATCAGCATTGTAGGCATACTAATGGCATTATTATGGAAGTCGGTCTCGGTCTCGCTCTCGGCCTCGGCCTCGACAAAGGCCATTGCTAAATCATATAAGTATATAATTCATCTCCATTTCAATAAGTACAATCCAAATATATAACCTAAATATTCGCATATACATATTCAGTACCAATTTCTGTTGAATGTTATATTTTAAGGCGAAAAGCTATATAAATTGAACTACGTTTTGGTATCTATAAAATTTAACATAAGATCAGATTTGTATATATTTATTGAGATTTATTAATGTTGCTGATATGCACAACGTTTCCTCTAACTATATTTCAAGTTACCTTCTGCGACCTCCTATACTTGTGGGTAGATTATATTTATTTTTAAATTAATTCGAAGAATACGGTCTCCCGGATTCAAGCCCCTCTTGTTATTATTTCATTTCTCCTCTTGTCATTAAACCACTATCCAAGCATTGACTCCACGAAAAGCTGTCTCCAAAACTAATTGCTAGAGACTTGACTCCATCTTTTAGCTCCATCGAGTCGCTGGAGTATGATATTGGTGCAGTCGCAGTGTCACGGCTCATTTACAACATCCTCTAGGTAGACGGATGATGGTGAGAAGTAGTTCTGTGGCTGTGGGGAGCACTTCCTCTTTTGCCAGCCGCAATAACCACGACACTCAATAAATCAGCAAGTGTAATTATTTGCGACGCCATTGGCGGCAGTCGGCGCACGCGAGTTAGCACAGCAACAACAACAACGACAACAGCAGCAACACACACATATAGACACATGCACAACAATAAATGGCAAAAAGTAAGCCAAAACAATTGAGCCAAAGTTTCTCAGCAAAGAGCAAAAAACGTTTGGAGCTGCCTCTCGTGTGGCCCTGGCTCAAGGTTACAGGTTACATGGCATGACCCCTCCCAATCTCACACACATGCACACAAATTCCATTGCCATGGCCCTTGGCATTTGTTAGCAATTAATTTGTTATATTTTTGCCGCTTTTTGCTGCACTGCGTCGCGTCGTGTCGCATTTCGATGTATTTATTTATGATGACGTCGACGTGCGACATCGTCTGCTTGGTATTTCGAAGCACGATTACAGCATTTGGCTGAAATTGAGTTGCCACTCACAGACACACACACACACACACATACACACGTACCAACACATGCTGATGGGGTTGCTGCGATAAGCAAATTGGTTTCCGATTTAGTTAGCGCGTGCATGCGACTGGGACACATTTAGCCCAAAGGCGCAGTCGAGTGTCCTGGGCTTAGTATTGGCCAGTGTGTTGTATGTGTGTGGTTGTGTACGTGTGTGTGTAGGTGCCTGCGGGCAGCGAGCAGCTGTCGCTAAATAAATTTTATGGCTCTTTGGCACTGGATGCTGTGGCTAGCAGTGGCCCCTGGCATGCCCATGACATATGCTCGTTAACTATGCAGCTAGCGCCAAATACAATCAGCCATGAGGAAAAGGAAACGCAGCGGCATTGGCAATGGCCATCGCAATGGCAAAGTTTAAGCTCCTAGCTCAAAAACACCTGACAACTGTCAATAAACACAAGCCGCAGAGAGGCAGCGCCACGGGACAGACACCTCTACCAGCAGCACGTTCTGGCTCTGAACCGGGCTTCACGTCCCGCTGTCCAGCTTTGACAAGGGACCAACGTTTTATTGTGCCTGTGTTTTTATTGTTGTTGTTAGTGGTTTTGTGACTCAGCATGACAATTGGTTATTTCCATTTCTATTAGCCACATGTCCCAGGAGTCTGGCGTGCGAACAATTTAAATTTATTATGAATTTAGTATAAACTTTCGGCAAACGCTACGTATGAGTAATGCGACCAAAAGCGGACGCGTTGCGCATACGCAAAAGTTAAGCATGCTGATGAAAACGATCAGCCAATTCAAGCGCTCAGACTCTTTTTCTCTTTCGCTTTCGTTTTCGCTCTCTTAGCTTTCTTATCAGCGTGTCTCGCACTTTATTTAAATGCCTCAACCGAACGGCTTCGCATACAGCGGCTCGTTGGTCTAGGGGTATGATTCTCGCTTCGGGTGCGAGAGGTCCCGGGTTCAACTCCCGGACGAGCCCAAAAGCTAAATACTTTTTTTTTAGGAAGTGGGGATAGGGGAAGTGGGTGGGGTTAACGGATGTGCGACTAGAGCAAAATATATTTTTGTATATGGAGCAAAAACCGCTTATCGCTTCAAGTCTACTCAAGCGTCAACGGAGCGATTCATTCGAGAATTTCTTATGCTTCAATGAACCAGAAGTGTCATCGTCGGCAGCATTCGCGCAGCGTCCACATTGATGTTAAATATACACATAATATTACATACATACACAGACTTACATAAACATACATACATGTTTGCCCTATATAAGCTGTGGCTTTTTGTGTACATATGCATGCATGCATAGAACGATATATGTGTGCATGTGTGTGTCTCTGTGTGTGCTACGCGCAATTTATCCAGTCCCTTGGCCTTTTTTGCAGACCCCTTTTTTGAGCCATTGTCGCGCTGTTCGTTGCCCGTTTTCTTGTCTAATGGAATATTATTGATGAGAAAGCTAGCGTGGCCAGCGTTGTCTGCGCTCTCGTCTCGGCATCATTTTAAAACCCTAAAATTATTTTTATAAAAGCAATTTATTTTTACACCAAACCAAAAAATAAATTTTTTTATATGCTTGAAATACCACAAACAGACGCTGAGCAATATTGGCAAGCAGCATTTCGTACATTGATCTTTATATCTCGCTGTCTCCCTCTTACTGGGGCTTTTCTTCTATCTTACTCTAATCTATGCATTGGTTGTTTCGTGTGTGAAAAATCGCGATCGTGTGGAATAATGAGAAAATAACCGAATGGCAGAAATGCAAGCATTATCATCATTATTATTATTATTATTATTATTATTATTATTATTTTTATTATTTTTATACCCTGAACCCATTAAAAATGGGTATAAGGGTATATTGTATTTGTGCAAAATCCAAATGTATGTAACAGGCAGAATGAAGCTTCTCCGACCCCATAAAGTATATATATTCTTGATCAGCATCAATAGTCGATGTAGCCATGTCCGTCTGTCTGTCCGTCCGTCCGTCCGTCCGTCCGTCCGTCCGTCCATATGTATGAACGCAAGGATCTCAGAACCAATAAGAGCTAGAGACTTGAAATTTTAGATGTAGATGCTCCTAGTTTCCGCGCAAATCGATATCGATATCCTGTTTTTTGGGCAATTTTGGTAAATAATAAGAGCTAGAGTCACCAAACTTGACATATAGCTTCTAAAATAGAATAAATATATGCATTTGATGTTGCAAGAAGAAAAGGGAGCTCCCGACTAGAACCTCTTACTTGTTTAATATTATGTTCATGCAAATGGCTTGGGTATGCAAAGTAAGTATATTGATTTAGATAAAGCTACCTACTTATATGGCTTGAATAAATCCAGTGGACAGAGCTCGATTGGGACACTACTTCGTTTAGCATAATTTAATGAATCTCACTTGAGA